CTACAGCCCACTTCTTCGGATGATATGCATCCGAAGAAGTGGGCTGTAGTCCACGAAAGCTTATGCTCTAATAAATTTGTTAGTCTCTAAGGTGCCACAAGTCCTCCTGTTCTTCTTTTTGCGGATACAGACTAACACGGCTGCTACTCTGAAACTAAACAATCCCAGTTCCCTCAGCCTCTCCTCATAAGTCATGTGCTCCAGACCCCTAATCATTTTTGTTGCCCTCCGTTGGACTCTTTCCAATTTTTCCACATCCTTCTTGTAGTGTGGGGCCCAAAACTGGACACAGTATAAATGATAAGAGATCCACCCTTGATAAACTGCTCTCAGGCTGGAATAAATAAAATACATTGTGATTGAAAATTCTATGCTGATGATATTAGCTACAACTCAAAAGACGCAGACGTCAAAGCACAAAAAGAACAATTTAGTTTTTAAGAAGTCTCTCCTACTGCAGTAGTGAACTCTTATATTTCCCAAGCTTAACTCTTCTCTCACACCATTTTTATGTAGTTACTCCTACCACTGTGGGAGGAGAATCTGGCCCATAATTTTCTTTGTACCATACTGTCACCCAGAAAATAATTCCTTAACTTTACCAGCTCTTTAGAATATAATTAGGACCCTACAAAATTAACGGCCATGAAAAACATGTCATGGAACATGAAATCTGGCCTCTCCCCGTGAAATCTGGTGTTTTCTGTGGGAGTTGGGAGAAGGAGTTGCAGGGGGGGGTCACAAGGTTATTTTAGGGGGGATCGCGGTATTGCCATCCTTCTGTGTTGCTCTCAGAGCCGCATGTCTGGAGAGCAGTGGCTGACGGCCAGGAGCCCCACTCTGAAGGCAGTGCTCCGCCAGCAGCAGCACAGAAGTAAGGGTGGCAATACCATACCATGCCACCCTTACTTCCGCGCTGCTACTGGCGGCAGCTCTGCATTCAGAGCTGGGCTCCCAGACAGCAGCTGCTGCTCTCCAGCTGCTCAGCTCTGAAGGCAGCACCACTGCCAGCAGCAGCGCAGAAGGAAGGGTAGCAGTACTGCAACCTTGTGACCCCCCACCACAGCTCCTTTTTGGGTCAGGACTCCACAATTACAACACTGTGAAATTTCAGATTTAAAGAGCTGAAATCATGACATTTATTATTTTTAAAATCCTATGACTGTGAAATTGACCAAAATAGACCATGAATTTGGTTAGGCCCTAAATATAATATATATTTTGAAAGAATTTAAAAGAGCTGTTTGTTCTGGGTACTTTAAATCATTCTTCTTTCTTCCTCTTTCCTTCTGTCAAGGGAAGTTTTGGATACACAAGGAATGCAGTGTTGGGCACTGAGTATGTGGGGGAAATGAGCAGAAGTAGCATCTAGCACAAGGAATCATAGAATCATAGAATTGCAGGATTGGAAGGTTTCCTTGAGAGGTCATCTAGTCCAGTCCCCTGAACTTATGACAGGACTAAGTATTATCTAGACAATTCCTGACAAGTGTTTGTCTAACCTACTCTTAAAAATCCTCAATGACAGAGATTCCACAATCTCCCTAGGCAATTTATCCCAGTGCTTAACCAGCGTCACAGTTAGAAAGCTTTCCCTAATGTCCAGCCTAAACCACCCTTGCTGTAATTTAAGCCCATTGCTCCTTGTCCTATACTCAAAGGTTAACAAGAACAATTTACCTCCCTTCTCCTTGTAAAAACCTTTTATGTATTTGAAAACCGTTATCATGTCCCCTCTCAGTCATCTCTTCTCCAGACTAAACAAACCCAATTTTTTTCAATCTTCCCTCAGAGGTCATGTTTTCTAGACCTTTAATCATTTTTGTCGCTCTTCTCTGGACTTTCTCCTATTTGTCCACATCTTTCCAGAAATGTGGCACCCAGAACTAGACACAAGACTTCAGTTGAGGCCTAATCAGCCTGGAGTAGAATGGAAGAATGATTTCTTGTGTCTTGCTTACAACACTCCTGCTAATACAGCCCAGAATGATGTTCGCTTTTTTGCAACAGTATTACGCTGTTGACTAAGATTTAGCTTGTGATTCACTATGACCCCCAGATCCTTTCCACAGTACTCCTTCCTAGGCAGTCATTTCCCATTTTGTATGCGTGCAACGGATTGTTCCTTCCTAAGTGGAGTACTTTGCATTATTGAATTTCATCCTGTTTACTTCAGATCATTTCTCTAGTTTGTCCATGTCATTTTGAATTTTAATCTTATCTTCCAAAGCACTTGCAACCCCTCCCAGCTTGGTATCATCCACAAACTTTATAAGTGTACTCTCTATGCCATTATCTGAGTAACTGATGAAGATATTGAACAGAACTGGACCCAGAACTGATCCCTGCAGGACCCCACTTGATATGCCCTTCCAACTTGACTGTGAACTGCTGATAACTACTCTCTGGGAATGGTTTTCCAACCAGTTATGCACCCACCTTATAGTAGCTCCATCTAGGTTGTATTTCCCTGGTTTGTTTATGAGTATAAAGCTCAAACTGAAAACCTTGGGAAAGACTTTACCATTAAAGGTGTTGCAGTGACTCTCCAAAGAATCATGGGACAACATCTTGACATTCCAAGATGATGATAGTGGTGTGGTATTTCCTCATTATGAAACAACATCACACAACAGAGACTGCCTCATACAAGACATTATATTGATTATTTGGTGACTCTTTGCAACTCCGTTGAACTCTGTCTGATATCTCTTCTTCCTGCACTTTCCTGTGGGCTGGAAAGGACAAGGGTATTTGTCTTCTCTCCTCCTCTTTGGTATACTAGAAAGAAAAAGGGGCATTTCTTCTCTCTCTTTTCTTTTATTCTATTCTCCACCCACCCACACTCAACATTCAATTTTCCTGTTACATGGAAGGCTGTTGACTCATCTATTTGCTTAGCATTCCCCGCGTAACCCTGTGTTAGACAGTGCTGGATGAAGCCAGATCAGAGCTACTTACAAAGACCCAAGGAGCTGCACATGGCTCTAGAGCCATAGCTGGAACTTTGCAGATTGGGTTCATCTTTTCCAAAATCCTGACATAAGCTCCTACATTGGGACACCCTGACACTAGGAAAGTTTGGCTCCAGATCTGAACTTGTTGGACTGAAATAATGTCTAGAGTGAACAGTTTATTGCTAGTTTACCAAGAATATAAATGCAAAGGCTGTGATATTTATCAAAAGACTATGAAACCAGCACAATTTTTTTCCCCCGTAATGTTCTACATTTATTTTAGCTTGTTGTTAGTTTAGTTTTTATGTGAGAAATAGTGCCGTTTTAATTTTGTTAATGGCTTCCTCTAGATCAGACAATCAGGGCACATTTTCAGTTCAGTGCTCCTAATTTCTTATGCTGGAAACATGCATCTCCTTTTTTTTATCATTTGATATATGAAAAAAAAATAGGAAAAACATCATAGTAATTTTCTATTAGAAAATCAGTAGCTGAGTAAAGCAGGACTTTAGTGGTTTTGTTAAATGCAGTAATTCAACTGTGAATCTGCATCAATGATTCAAAACTCATCATGATTGACATTACGTGCCTTGTATTGCAATAAGCAAAAGCAATGCCCAGGGAATGATGCTCACAGGCAGGGAGCCCTAATGCTAATATATCTTAGCATGTTTAATCAAGCATTTTTAAAAGTAGAAAAACTCACTTAAATCTACACCCAAATGTGTGGAACAGTTTTTAGGTGGCTTCAAATATATTTTTAGCAGTAAAATAGTCTGGGAAGTACCTAATTCTCTCACATATCTTTCTGCACAATCTCTTTTAAGTTAGTCATGTCACACTAGGGATGAATTTATCACACTGCTGTTATACATCGGTACAAATAAAATGAAACTACTCTAAAAATGTTGGGCATGATCTTCAGTTTGTACAAATCAGCGTAGCGCCATTGAAGTTGTACACTGAAGTTTACACCAGCTAAGGATCTGGCATGCAGAGTTTATTCTATAGTCATCACCATATATCCTTTTTAAATACAATAAACTACTGAATTTAGCATTAGCCAGTATATGCATGTCACCCAATTGTACCATAATATCCAGGACAGTATTTCTATTTTTTACCTTTTATATTGTGTAAAATAAATGTCAAAGAGTTTGTTTTTAAAGGATTTTTAAAAATATAGCTATTTAGAATAATTTTTATCACCACTGCTTTTACAGAGAATAATTCCTTATCAGTCTGAAACTGACAACTCTCTCCTTAGCAGTATTATTCATTTCCATAATGCACCGTTTGTTTATTGGAGGGTTAATGCTAGTCAGCTAACTTTTATTTATTTTTATTTTTTAGGGCAAAGAGAGCATTAGAAGATATGAATATCAGACATTTTCAGAATGGAAATGTCCATCTGGCTCTTCAAGCCTACCTTCTCCCTTCCCCTTTTATCTTTAGCTTAATCCCATTTTCCTGCTTTTTCACCACACCCTCAATGCCTTTATTTTCCAACAACAAATAAAGGCATCACTTAAATTCACTGAATCTGGATTTGTGCTGAAAACACGGACACCTGTAAGGCCTGATGCAAAGCCCATTGCATTTGATAAAGAGTCTGTCCATTCACTTCAGTGGAGTTTGGATCAGATCCATAAAGAATTCAATAGATTCACAGACAGATACAAGAAGATGAAATTGTTCAAAATGTATGTTTACCAGCCTTGACAGTGTGGCTGTATACATTTTGGCACAGAAAATAGATTACGTGTATTATCATTATTTCTGATGACATAATGCTGACGTGCAATCTGCAAATATGTATTTTGCCACTCTCCAGGCTACTCTGGAACACGACATAGATTTGCTTGAAGTTTAAAATATTTATCCAGAAGATCTATGACTCTCAAATTGTCAGAGCAATCAGAGCTTAGTGTAATAACTTGACTCCATTTATTTATTGCATTAAAAACAAAAATACAAAATAAATCCTATTTGCAAGATGGTTGTGTGATTACTGGATTTCCACCCCCCTAGAAAATACAACATGCTAGTAGCAGTGTATACATACCTACGTATTTTTTCAGATGCTCAGAGGTGCACAGAACTTAAATTATTACACTGTATTTGAGGATTGATCTGGCTTTTGTGTTCAAGAGTGAGAAGAAAGCAGGGCCTGGGAAACAAGGCACAGTTTCTAGTCAGAGGCTAGTTTCTGGAAAACAACTTCCTATAAGAGGGAAGTAACTCTCCACCCTCACCCACACTCCTTGCCCAGAAAGATTTTTCTATCAGGTGAGGTTTTTTTTCCTGCTACCAACATATTGCAATTCAATATGAGTCTGGATAGTAAACCTCATTTATTACCCCTTTGTGACAACTCTACTTACATAAGAGTGCAGGCCTAATTATAACCCAATTCTGCTTTCCTGGCCTCTGGGGTTACTATATAGCTTTTCATTTACCACATACCGATTTAATCCTGTATTGTTTGGTTCTGGTAGCATTGGCAGCCTGTGAAATGTGATGTATGCAGTATTCTGTGTTCGGATGGAGCAGCAATTGTGCTATGCTTAGAGATCCTATTGTTGAACAAACAAACAAACTAGACAATGCCAAATATGCAGCTTGCCCTAACATTTTCAATGTAGTCATCCAACATTTTAGCTGCTGATTAGTTAAGCCCACAATTTTTCAAGAACTGAAAGATAAATCTGTGTGAATTTTTACTTTTCCCATGGTTAAAGTACATAGGGAGCAGCAGAAGTTTAATGGAAGAATGTTACAAATAAAATGGACCAGACTGCTTTGTCCTTGCTATCACTCCTATTCAGGGCCGGCTCCAGGCACCAGCTTAACAAGCAGGTGCTTGGGGCGGCCAAGGGAGAGGGGCGTCATGTGCGGCAATTTGGGGGCGGCAGGTCCCTCACTCCCTCTAGGAGCGAAGGACCTGCCACCGAACTGCCGCCGCCGATCACGGCTTTTTTTTTTTCCCCCCCAATTGCCGCCGCCGGTCACAATTGCGATCGCGGCTTTTTTTTTTTTTTGCTTGGGGTGGCAGAAATGCTGGAGCTGGCCCTGCTCCTATTGAATCAACATTGTTTTAAAAAACAGAACATTTGAACGGATTGTTTCAGAATGCTGTTTGGAAGCATAAGATTGCTGGAACTGGTACTATAATGTAATGATGCAACAGAGCACCAGAAGTTCCATGTTTCAGATTAAATCCTAGGTCCGCTCACTTGTGGTAATTAAGATTTCTTGGCACTTTTCCTCTTTAGTTAACCCACGTGTTCTGGTCGAATTCCAACTGCACTAACAAAAAGAATATTGAAAGGGAGATAAAACTTTATGTTTCTGGTTTTAAATCAATCTCTAACTTTTTGGTATCAGGATGAGTCCTTTATGGAGGGCAGATTATCTCACATCTGCCTACTGAGGGTTTCTTTTTCCTTCTTCTGAAGCATCTGCTGTTCACTGCTGTCAGAGACAGGGTACTAGACCAGATACAGGGACTGCTCCAGTATGGCAGTACCTGAATCCTCCCTTAGTTTTACTTAATGCAATATTTTTTGTTCCTCCAATGAACACCACTGTTATTTAATCTACACTGTTAAACTGCTCCTGCTTTGCACCCGAGGTATGGCTGCATTGCAGTGCGGGTGATCTGAGTAATCCTTATATATCTGGTTATTTCTTTTTCAAATTTGTGAATGATTTGGGACCACTCAAAGTACTACATAAAATATAAAGCATAAAATATTGTTATTGTTACTAAAATGACATTCATTATAATGCACCCTTCGAGAACAAATGGTTCAATGAATTGGAAATGGGACATGGAATCTTTCACCTTTAGGTCATCAGTTCAAATGGACCTAGGTTGGCCTTGATTGAAAAGAGGATAGGGACAAGAACAATTGATATCGAGTTTCATGAAATTCCCCTCTTAGAATTTAGAGAAGACTCCGTCCCTCATGTTTTTAGAAAACAGAGAGAGAGAGAATGTTCATTTCAGATTGTGATGGTTGAATTATTAAAGTATGTCTCAATAGCATGATTAGAGCAACTTTAAAAAAAAACGAACTAGACTGTAAACCCTTGGGAGCATCTTTTCATTTTTACACACACACACACACACACACACACACACACACACACACACAACAAATGACT